TAATTAAAAAATGGTAAACTTAACGAAACGACTCACACAACAAAATCTAGTAGATACAGACGATATAAAAAAATGAGCAAGAAACATCCCTTTCAATACCTTCCCAAAATAGGAATGAAACAATATTAGAATCTGACAAGGTAAACGAAATGAAGAAAAAACTACAGGCAGTCATAGATGAAATACTTCACCCGTGAGTGGGTTAAAAAAAACTCCAAGTCTAGAACAAAAAATAATAGATAAAATTACTTTTTTTAAGAAAACAGGAATGAAGTAAACGAACCTATATAATATGTATAATTTCTTAATTACAATTGTACCAAAAAGTGTAGAATCAGAAAGAGCTTTTTCGGCGGCTGGTTATTTTTGTAATAAAATTTGGTCCTCGCTTGTTGATCAAACAATTGATTGTTTATGCTTCTTAAGAGCATATTGTATTAAGCAAAACATTAGCCATGAATTATAGTTTTTTCTTTTCTCAAATATATAATTCTGATTATAAATGTAAAATGTAACATAGAAGAATATATATTTTTTTACTGACAATTTTTGTTTCTATCTACATCTACTCCTCATGTAATAAATAAATAATATGTACTCATTTCAGGACAATATTTGTTGGATAACCTAAATTATTTGTTAATATGTCAATAAAACAACTGAAGTAAGTAAAAATATAACTATTTAATTTTTTATCGACCGGTATTAAAACCGGGATCCAGGATTTTCATTTTTCAAATATCGAATACCGGTATTCAGATTTTTGTACGGTACGGTACTGGAACATCTGAATGACCGGTTTCATTTGGTGGAAACATTAGGACAGAAAATTCCTTTTAATGTGGTCACTATGACAAGAACAGTTTACTATAACTTCATTATTATTAAAACAGAATGGTCCCTACGTAATAAAAAAAGTATAATGATAAAGAATCTTTTTTGTGGAAACCTGTACAATGGTTAAAATATGGAATGAGTGGAGACTGCTAATTTTATATTACCGAGCCTCGAAAAATAAAGGCGGTTAGTGAGTTCAAAACCTCTTCAAATCCCAAAGAAATTTAAATATTCTTAGGTTTATCAGGTTACTATAAAAGTATATAAAAGATTATTCAGAAATAACAAATCCATTAACAAAATTACTACAGAAAAATTCTAAATTTATTTGGTCCGAAATTATATTTAATACGTTGAAGAAATAATTAATAAACCCACAAATTTTACAATATCCAAATTTTGCTAGAGGCGTAGCCATAAGTGCAGTTTTATTTCAAAACGTAAATGTTGCGGATGTTGTGTGTTACTCATTTTAGGCCTTACTTGTACCGAAAACTCTTTAAATTATTTACTGACCACATGCCTTTAATATATTTGTATAATTGTAAAAACCGAATTCTAGACAAATACGTTGGAGATTAAAATTAAAGTTATTCGAATTTAAAATTATCTATAAAGCTGGAATAACGAATACAAATGCAGACAGTTTATTTAGATCTTCTTTTGAATTGCACAATAGTGCCAAAGACATTCAAGAAGATACAAAAAACATTCAGGAAAATGCAAAATTTTCATATTTAACCACTAAACCAACCAAAAAATTTCAAACATTTTTAGATACTGCAAACAAAGATTATTTTAAATACAAATATAGTAAAAACAATAATAATTTTATTTTTTCAATAAGTAAAAATACAACCAGCATATTGTCTTAAAAAATTATATTATTTTAATCAACAATAAATATATGCAAAAAAAACTAAAAATCAAAATGTTTTAATATTTGTATCAAAAACTTCAAATACATAAAAAAATGTAAAAATTATTTGATCTTTGTAAACATGAAACATAAAAAACTTTATAGATATCCAAACATCAACTAATCATATTACGTATTCTATCGTTAACAATAAAGTTTCACAGCTTAAATTACAAGATTTTTTTTTATTGACTATGCAATTTAAAAAAATATTTGTTAGAGTAAAATATAAAATATTACGCAACTCCTAGTCCTATCCAGTTCACAAATATTTGTCATTTATCTTTTGAACATTTTAAAATGATGTAAAGATACAACTTCAAAGTACAATATAAAAATCGAAATTTATTTAGATAAAATAATTGAAAATTTAATAGAAGAAGAAATAGAAAAAGTTTTGCATGATTTACGTATTTCTCAAATAAATGGAGGCATAAAGAAAACTTACAATAAAATTAAAAACTTTTACATGTGGCTAAAAATGAGGAAACAATTTAGAAATTTCATAAGTAAACGTGCAATTTGTCAAAAAATAAGGTTTTTTTTATCACGAAAAACTAAAGCATCCATGGAAATCAGAACTACTGCTAAAAAACCATTCGGAAAAGTGTGTCAGATAATCACAATAAATAATTCTTAACTTTTATTCGTGATCTAACAAAATTTGTAGATGTTTTGAATGAAGGTTTTGTATCAGAAATTGTTTTTAAATATGTTATTCTACTAAAAGAAATTGTCAGATTTAGGAACAACTTTTACCAGTAATTAATTTAAAGACGTTTATAAACTTAAAAAAAAAAAGAAGTGCAACATCATCTGATGTGCAAGTGAACGTATGCATAAGGATCTTATCCAAAATATTAGATCAAATATAAACAGCACACAAGCAAATTGACGAAAATATATTAAATATGCAAAATTTTATTCACAATACCACAGTACCTAAATCGACAAATTATACACCCATTGAATTACTACTTGGGAGAAAAATTGAATTACCTTTATTTGTCAGTAAGAGTTGTGATATACAAAACAATTATGATAAATATACAAATGAATTACAATGAGATTACAATAGAGAAATTTAAATGCACAAATAATACTGGGCAGAAATTTACAGAATTCTATCCTAGACTTCAAATAGTCAATACATAACTTATTAAAAGTTATTCATGTTTATACACTTATGTCAATAAACAAAGCTGTTCTCGTTTAGTTTTTGGAAGTTATTAAGATTTGATTAACGTTTGTACATCTGATTCATCCCTTTACCCCTAATTCCTCATCCTATGCATTGTACAATGTCAACCTTATTCAGTACTTAATTGTGACCAGATGATCATTTATAAAAATAAACCCTCCATTTTCACAAATGATTTTAGGCGGTTTTCTATTCTTACAATGTTTTTCCCAATTTACGTGTATGTTGTTTCTGCAATTAATTATATCCATTAATTTGCTTTTATTTTCAGTTTTTCTCCAGGTCTGGAATGTGATTTTTCACATCTAGGCCAATAAATCTGTATTTTCGTATTACATAATGTAATCTTTTTAGCGGAATGATGAGACACGTCTGGTCTTGACATGGATAAACCACTTTATTTCAAAGCATTGGCTGTTTTTACTACTTATCAATATATATAATGAAAATTTTTTACATAAGTGAAGTTTTTGTTGATTTTGAGGGGTAACCACACAGTTCCTGTACAGTAAGGATGATAGTGATTCTATATGAAAAAAATTGAATAGGTTGAAGAGAAGTAATACATACGATAAAAAAGGAGTATTACGAGTATACCAACAAACAATATGTCTGCTCCGTGATAGATTAATATAAAATTCAAACATTTTATAGATAGCAGGATGAATAGCGTAGAATATCAACTATATTTGTTGGCAATAGTAAAATTTGTATATGGTAAAGTAATTGCTAAATTCATAATCAAACAAACAAAAATTACTGGCAGATATCAGTAAATAAAGATGCAGAATCCAGGTTTAAAAATAGATCAAATGGCTAAAAAGGAGAACCCGCGCGTTGCTCGTCTCGGATTTTGATGAATCAAATCTACCATTGGCACAATGGTAGATTTGATGCCCAAACTGACTGTGGTAAAATATTAGAGGCCTATGAAAAGCGGTTTAATTATAAAAATTAATTAAAGTTTGCATTGTAGCAGCGCGCGGCATGCATAGCTTGCGATGTTTTTCCTTATCAACAGCAGATTGGCCGAGTGGCTTTCGTCGTGGAATTCTAATTTTTGCTCCGGGGTTCAATTCCCGATTCAGATATATTTTTTTTATTTGATATTTATAATTTCACGTGTAAATAATATCAAAATTTATTTGATTTTTCAATTAATTTTATACTTTTTGCTATATATTCTATAATAAAGTATTAATATCAGCAATAATACGGAAGAAGAGATATAATTTATTTCCAATTAAAAACTATGTTCAAATTTCCAATTGTGGGGATCGTGGAGATTGTGCTGCAGTGAATAAATTTTATTAATGTTTTCAAGTCATATGTGGAAAAGGATTTTTCATATTAATATTAGATTCTTGGGCTGGTCAAACGTACAAAGTATCATCCTCATAATATTAAATTTGAACATAGTTTTTAATTGGAAATAAATTATATCTCTTCTTCCATATTATTGCTGATATTAATACAAAATTATAATGTTTCAGGAATCACTTAACATTTATATGATCGTAAGTTTCATAAGTAATATCAAAATAAAAATTTACCGGTATTACGAAGGACTTTATTATAGAATATTTAGCAAAAAATATAAAATTAATTGAAAAATCAAATAAATTTTGATATTATTTACACGTGAAATTATAAATATCAAATAAAAAAAATATATCTGAATCGGGAATTGAACCCCGGAGCAAAAATTAGAATTCCACCACGAAAGCCACTCGGCCAATCTGCTGTTGATAAGGAAAAACATCGCAAGCTATGCATGCCGCGCGCTGCTACAATGCAAACTTTAATTAATTTTTATAATTAAACCGCTTTTCATAGGCCTCTAATATTTTACCAGTCAGTTTGGGCATCAAATCTACCATTGTGCCAAGTTTCATCAAAATCCGAGACGAGCAACGCGCGGGTTCTCCTTTTAAGATTTCAATAATGTACTACGAATAACATGTGCCTTAAAGTGTTTTGTGAACATTTAATCATACTAATCAGGAATATATTCATTGCGATAAAAAACATGCAGGTACTTACATTCACAAATTCTTGCTCAAGTTACCCCATGTAGTTATTAAATATAGGATGGATTTGTACAATAAAACATTCACATGAGTGTCCATCATGTGGAATAGAATTTATTCACCGACATCTGAAATTATAAAACACTATAGTAATTCATATAGATATAAAAATATTATTTTAACATAGCTCAAAAAAAAGATAAATAAGTACCCATTAAAGGAAATATTTGGAATTGTAGCATATGTATTAGCCATAACCTATTTCTCGAAACGATATCAACAATCATCAAATTGTCTACGCACTTAATAATCCCAAATACGACGAACATTAGGTTTTACATCAAATCAAAACAACAAATTCACAGCAATACATATAACTATAAATATAAAAACGGACGTTATTAACGAATATTTCTCACACCAAATCAATCTTTGCTTTTGTCATGTACTAAATAAATAAGCAAAATTATCAATCCATCAAAGTACTAAACCAAAAGCTTGCAAATAATGTCATCGCCAATGTAGATCATTAATTGTGCACTAAACCACTGAATTGAAACAAAATCGGACTGAAAATCTCTAAATACTCTTCTTTTACCTATCATCAGAACACACTTGTTGAATCTAATGCGAGATGCGAGAACCAACAACGACATATGTCCATAGATAACGAACGCTAATAACAGTGGAGCGAACAGCAAACGTAAGGGTGTCGGCACACCTGTCAATAACGAGAGAGCGCAGCGGCGCTACCGATAAAACGTTAAAACGGTGATCTTCTAACCATAGATAAAAAAGAGTATAATGGATCTAACAGTTCCGAAAGATTTTTATTACATACTGGCTGACCCGGCAAACGTTGTTTTGATAAGTATTTCTAAACAATTTCTAGAGAATCAAGAAAATTAATGTTTTATTTTAAGTATATAAGGATGTGTAGTGTACAATGAATGTTCAATATTATATAATTTATATTAATATTATTCGTTTTCCCATATTTTGTTAATAAAATCAAACTGGAAATTTTATACACTTTCTATGAAAAACATATACAAGTATACAACTATGGTATAATCCTATCCAAGTTTTATTTGGGTCTTTCGACTCATTTTTTGCTGTTTTTCAAAAAATTGTTATCAAGTCTACTTTTACCCCATAGGCAGGGTAACTGGGACAGCCAGATGGCAAACAGGTTCAATGTCTTATTTTGATTTAAAAGATATTTTACAAAATAATTACATTATTCAAGTAATGCAGAATATAAATTCCATTGGTGCATTTTTACATTATCGACATTTTTACAGATGTGTGTTCCAATTTGTTATCAGCTAACCTTCTTATTTAAATTGTTGACTGTTATAAATCGAAATAAGTTATTTGACAATGTCCCCTTCACTTGATACCAAATTCAGATTATTAGTTCAAATAACTTAAATAAAACTAGTAATATACTATAAAAATATTTTATGAATGCAAATGAGTATAAATTATACAAAGTTCTTTAAGAAGTAGTATTGAACCCAAACCTCGCTTTACGGCCTAGGTACGTTCCGCGAGACTTGGCCGTCTAATTATTCTAATACCTATTCATACAAATTCAATGGGATCGGTTCCAAATTTAATAAATATATAATATGGTTAATCATTCAAAATGCATTTTATTTTTTTATTTTGTTTAAATTATAAACATATTTAACAAGAACATAAATTTTAAATTTACACAATTTTTCAATATAAATGAAACAACTAAAACCTACAGATCACTGTCACCATCATTTTACGCTGGTGGTTTGAAACATTTGTCTAAAGTTAATTGTCTTGCCTTCTTGTCTATTTCTTCCTTTAGTGATTTATAACAGCTAATGGCTGAGTTAATTCCTCGAGACACATTAGCGCTACGTTCGACGTCAGGATCGTTTTCAAGAAGGAAGTTTATTCCGTGTTCAAAATATGAAAAAGCGCTCGACATGATTTTTGATGTTAGCTGTTTGTATACAACAGGTTCTGTATCTTCATCAATTGGCGGCTCTGCTTGCAACTGAATGAGTTCCTCATGTGAAAGGGGTTCCCTATCAGCTGCAAGTAGATCCAGCACATCAGATTCGTTTAAATCTTCAACACCGAGATTGCGCAATATATCGACATAGAGAAAAAAAGCCGTTATTGGCTATGTACGAAGACATGGAAGGGGGAGTCAAATCGATCGAAGCGTTCGTAGCGGCTAAATTGGAGCACTAATTGGGGCTATTATAACCGAAATTATAAACAAAAACACATAAAATATTTGTTTATTTCAAATTTGAATAAGATTATTAATAATGAGCCACCATAGCTGTTGTGTAGTGGGTTGTACAAATACCAGCAGAAAAAGTGACTGCGAATTCTATACATTTTCTACAGCTAAGTGGAAAGAAAATCAACGGGAAAAGTGCACTAATCGCTGCGGTTAGAAGAATGAAGTAAGTATCATAGCCTTATTGTTATAGAAATACAATTCGGAGTATTATAAATAGTTGTAAAATTGTTATGTTTAGTAAAAAGAAAAATTATAAGTCAATAAATTGTTATATTATCAAAATTTAATGCTTACTAGAAAAAATTGTTTTGCAAACAATGTAATTAATACAAGGCTGCAATATATATTTGTGTATTGTATATTGATTATGTATAACTATTATCTATATATTAATTACATTTTATTATATAATAATTGTAATTTTATGAGTAAAAGAAAAATAAAAGTTATCGCATAGTGCTAAAATGTTTATTTAATACAATAGCGCTAATAGATTAATTAATACCACGCTGAAATAATGCAAAATATATATTTGTAGTGTTGATGGATCACCGTGGGTTCCCAAGCCCTATGATCGCATTTGCAGTGCACATTTCATTGAAGGAAAAAATCGGACGAGGTATTGAATCCTAGCTTCGTTTCGGCAATTTATAAAACTCAAAAAGTTAATGAATCTACGATTATAAACAGGTAAAACTTATTTGGTAAACTATATCAATGTTAATAATTTAATTACAATATTTTAATATTTTTAGATACAAGCGTTTAATTACCCGTAAAATAAAAAAAAATCACCTCCGCCATCAACTTCTGAACTCACTATACAAGAGCCAATGGAATCGTCGATGTTCCTCGACTTCTCTCACATGTCCAGAATCAACAAGTTTTTTACCTTTGGTCATTGTTTCCGGCTGGAACTTTATTTGATGGGTAATGGACTAAAATCCTGTCTTTATAATAATGTCCATGCCTTAAGTTTGACCAAAAATAATAAAAAAAAAACTAGCAAACAAAAATATTATTTACTTATTCTATTAAGAAAATATTTTTATCATTATTATAATTTATTTATTAGCACTATTCCGTGATTTTGACATAATTTTTAAGCAATTTAACCTTATAAATGCTTACTGCATTTCTTTATTTATTTTATCATACTTACCTGTATTTTAAGTACGTTCAAGTAAATTTAAAAATTACATTACCTATTCAATTTTCTCTTTCTTGTTGTAACTTATTAATAATATTTCTTCATTAACTTTTTTCTTTAAAAACATCTAAAAACACATGTAAAGCACGCACTGACAGCCCCAACTAGTTCACACGTGGTACACGTTTAGTCTGGCGCTGCAGTCACGCTCGGAGCCAATAGCAAAACATTTTAGGCCGTATATCGAAAACGTACCTTAATTAAAGAGGGCCGTTATAGCGAAAGGCCGTATAAAGAGCGGCCGTATAGCGGGGCTTGGATGTATTTAAGTTCTTTAAGTGTACTGACATAGAAAAAAATATGATTTGGATATTAACATTTCAAAACAGTTGATATTTTGAGTTTCTAAGAACACTTGCGACCCGTTTAATAATGTTTTATAAGTATAAATAAAATAACATACTACAATAACATAGTATTCAATAATATTCATTTAAAATCCCCTATTAAAATTAATTGAAAATGATCTGTCAAAACCATTTCACGTATGAGCCGCCGGCCATTGTTTCATTTAAAATTATGCTTCTACAAAAAAAATTAAATTAAAAATGTAAAGCAGTTTTGAAGTAATGTCTCACCTTTTGCACAACATTTGAATTAGCACAAATTTTTCAGGACCAAGACTGGCCAAATCTGTATAGCCATTTTAACGTTTTACCATACCTAACATAATACCAAGCTCCATTGAAAACTCATATTTGACTATAAAACATTGTTTAATTTTATTTTAGATTTTCTGCCAAAATATAGATTTTAATTCTTTATTAAAAGTCTAGAAATAAACAAATTATGGCATAATGGTAGTAAAATTTGAATTTATATAAATGAATGAATATTGAAAATATTAATTAAAGTTTGATAACTTTGGAATAATTTTAGGAATAAATTTTAAATATGAATTCGACATAAATGAGATTGGTAGATGTCTAAAATATGATCTTGATTTATTAGGATTTGGCAGGGCTCTGTTATGATTTTCGATTAGTTTTTTAACGTCAGTTTGCTCATATGTCATTTCCTGTTCTAAAACCGAAACTTCTTCATAGTCATTAAATTCGTGTATGTCAGTGTTATGCCATCTAGTCCCTTAACGCCTAAGTCATTAGCTACGAAACCCATGGGGAGTTATCTTCGGACAAATGCGCGTTGCACTGTTTTGGTCCTGAGTAGTTTCAATTTTTAAAAACAGATGGCTCATGTGCACTCAATTTCCACTACAAATTGTTCGTGGTTCATGCAAGTGGCTGTCAAGTATTTGATCGCTGTACGAATAACCTAACTTTGTGAACTCATGTTGTTTCTAATTAATTAATTTTGTTTAAGTGAACATTTGTGAAATTTAATATGGCAAAGTGTTTTTATAGTACCCAAAAAAGTGTCAAGTGCGGGTTAAAATATTTAGCTATTCCAATACAAGTTTCCGCAAAGGTATTTTTTAATAATAATTGCAGCAATAATTATATATAATCAAGATATGTCAACATGTTATTATATTGAATAGGTGTCTTGGGGGTACCTGCAAATTGCTGGAAAATGCACGAACAAAGCGCAGGAGTACTTTTGACAACCAAGGAATGCAATATGTAATGACAAGAAGGATTCATAAACAATGCAATAATTTAAGGAATAAGTCGTACAAAAAGTCTCCAAAGGTCTACTATTTTTGGAGACAAATATTTATTTTGCCATGTCCTCAAACATTGAGAAAGTTGCATTCAGAGATACAAGTGTATAGCGGTATTTATGAGTGTCTATTTAAAACATTAGGTTCAGCTATTTCTTTTAAAAAGTATTAGTAGCAGATACTGTGTTTTGATGTTTGATGAAATACCATTATCTTCGGAATTGTTATATGATTGGATTGAATCTCATATTGTTGAAGTTGCAAAACAGTTATTCAGCTAGTATGGTTCAAATGTTATTGTCATATTTAATAAGATTATCTATTACATTAGCAAATGTAAACACTTATAAAGAGAGTCTATACCATACATAATATTTTAATGTATTTTGATTGAAGATTAGTGTTATAATATTCTTCAAATAAAACTTGTGTAACATCCCAATATAATGTTTAAATTCAAGATATATTTGTTACCGACCTTGGGAATCAAAAATATTGCTTTTATCTTTTGATTCATAAACAATTGTATGTGC